TTTATTGTTTCATGGAAAGGGAAGTGTTCATTTGTTTGATATTTTTGGACCCAAAAATGTATGAGAACTGGGCAGTTTGGGGTTTTCACTGTTTTTTACATCATAAAGCAATTTTAAGGAAGCAAAATGCCCCAAGTTGTGTTCCATGTAGGAAATCTGTAGACAGACTCCAAAAAAGGACTTTCAATATTGGAGCACAATTTGAAAATACTGTATTTTTCTTTCCTCACTCCCTCACAGATTACTGCAAGGTGGTTCAGATGTGGTAAGACTATACTGGTATGATAGCATAAAGTATTTTATGGACTTTGGAGTAAAAATAAATATAGATACCACATCACAGGTAGACCTGAGATGTGTAAGAAAAAACAGAATTCACACTAATCACAGAAAACCTATCCTTTAAGGGGTTTCAAAGCACAGAAACATATTTATTCCAAAGAAAAACAACAAATGTTCTTCCTTTTTAATTCCCTCCTGTGGACATATCATAAGAAACAACTTGTTCCACCAATACCATACCCTGCAATTTAAGATGAACAAACTGTCAGCAATCCATGCAATAATTATTACAGTAAGGAGAAAACTGCACTATGTTTAAAAAGAAAATGAAGTCAAAACTCAACCACTAGGGTATGTTTTTCATTCCTTAGATTTTGTCAGATTACATTGTTCCAAAGCATTGAAAATATCTGACTCTTGTATAACAAAGTATATTAAAAGTGACTGACATTTAATCTGTCAAGATCACGGTCTTGTAATGGCACAGCAGATGGCTGGGCAATATTATGTCTCACAGAAATGATTTCTAATCAATCTATGTATATGTGTTGCTCACTTCACCCACTCAACTAAATAAAGTTCAACAGCAGAGTGAACCATGGAATTTTTAGCTTTTTCTGAGCTTTTAGCCCAGCAATAAAATACACATTAAGAATCAAACCTACACTCAAAGCAGTATTTTGCTTTTATATAAAGTATTTTTTATCCTGTTGAATTGAAATGGGCTCATAAAGATGCATTTCTGTCTTTCACCTGAGGAATTCTACCATTAGCTATTGTTGCTCCCAACAATTTCCTATTCATACCTATAAAAATTAAAACAGTGGTTTGGGTAAATTTGTTTTTTAAATGTGCTGCTCCACTTTTCCACAGTTTAATTACTAGGAAGTGTCTGGAACCTCAAATCAGATAGTTGATATCTTCAAAAGAGGGTGTTGAGTTGAGGAAGCCAAAGTCTATTCCATTTTACCAGTTACACCTTCAGGAGCTTTGTCATCCTCAGATTTTTTACAAGACATCTTTGGCTGCAGTTTGTACTCCTTGTATAGCAGCTGACTGCCATTTGAATTATGCCTCCTCAGCGAGGCTATCTGGGTGTGACTGAGGATTTTGTTTATGTTCTGTGTTTTTTATACAGAGTAACTGAGGACTGCAAAATAATAGTTGTGTAGATATCACATTTCTCTGTGCATCTGTGTTCACTTGCCATCTAAAAATCTAAAAAAATCTGTATTTTTTTTTTATTCTGTTCCTCCAATTTTTTGAGTTTGTTTTTTGAATACATATAAATATTACTCTTTCTACCTGGCAACCAGTATGTCTAAAAACATTCCTTTCAGACTTCTTTTTTCTTCTTATCTAATGCACTTCACAGATGTTTTTGATGTTCCCAACCTACATTTGCCATTTTTCCAGATGAAATGTGCTTCTTAAATGAAAATCCTCTAACTTCATACGCAGGAATGAAGATATAGAATCTGTCTGTATTTGAATTCTAGGCATTTAGGCATGTCAGATTGGTCTGCTGCTGGCTTCATTTTCCTTTTCAAGCTCGTGAGTTTATTTCCTAAATACTACTGTGGTACTTCATTGGCTTCTTATAGTAGTTATTTTCTCAGTCTAATTTTAGCAAATTGAGATGGGTATCGAAGTGTTGCCTCTATAATGCACTGGACAACCTCTTGCTTAGAGAATAGAAACCTCCTGAGAGGTGAGTTTTCTTTCTGTGCTGTAGTTCCACTGCTGCTGCCCAGAGAGTATCAGTATTAGTCCTCTACCAGCCTGGTGTGAGACAGGAAACTTGTGGATATTACTCACCGGGTATAATTTTGTAACACTCAAAGTGTGAGCTATAGTGGATGTTAGGTAGATACTAAAAGGGAATATTTATACATTTATATTCATGTAATTCTGAAAAAAACGATGGATTGACAACCATAAAAAATGAAAATTAATTGTGTATTAGTTAAGGAAAAAAAAGGAGACATTTGTATGTCCTTATTAAGGCTTATTAGGTGTAAGGACAAAGATATACTTTAACATTGAGTTAGTGTGGATTCCAGCTGAATGAGATTGCCTGAGGTAAGAGTATAATCACCTTACTCCCCATACATAACTGGAGAAGAAATATAGGCTGCTGTTGGGACTAATTCAGACCTTAAATAACTGTAATTGACTTCCAAAGAAAGGCAGGTAACTCTTTCTATTTTTTCATGGAGACCTATTGTGACTCTACTTGGTTATATGTACTGACTCAGTCAGTGAGAGAAATACAAGCCCTTACTGCTACTGCACCCAGACTTGCCTGGAGTATAGGCTGTTCTGGCAGGAGCTTTCAATTAGTTTCTTCTCCAATTGTCTTCATCCCTTTTTTATCTTCTGTATTCCACTTCTGCTTGACCCATCTAGAGTCACAGAGCTGTAATATAATTCAAGTTGAGAGGGACCTCAGGAGGACTCTAGTCCAACTCCTTGCTCAAATCAGTGAAAACTGTGAAGTCAAACATGTTGCCCTGAACTTTATCTGTTCAGGTCTTGAAACCCTCCAAGGATACAGATTACACAGTCTGTCTGGGCAGCCACTCCTGCTGCTTGACTGAAAGTCAGAACTATACCTGATTTGGTTTATTACCATTTTCTCTTTTATTTTTTTCTTCTTTTGTTTATTTTACTGCCCTGCAAATCCATAAAGATCTTGCCTCCCACATTTTGAACTCTCAGGTATTGGAAAGGTACTTCTAGTCACCTCCAAAATTTTGACACCTTCCTTTTTTTCAGTCTGACCAAGCCCAGCTCCTTCAGCCTCTCCTTATAGGGTGCATTCTTCAGTCCTAGTGATGTTGGTGGACTCCCACTTGACTCACTCAAAGTTTGTTGATGTCTTTTTTGTACTGCAATGGACATGTTAATCATAACTGGACATAGTAGTCCAGATATGCTCAAAAAATGCTGTGTAAAAGGAAATAATATGAGTTTCTTGTAATCTTGAAAAATATTATGATTCAGAATTCAGAAAGCACATGAAAAAAATCTGGAGCCTATTTAGCGTAGGCTTAATCAAAAGAGAATGCACTCATCTGTGTCAGAGCTCCCTGGCAAGCTCTGTCACCTTTGTCTGAGAAAGATTTTCTCTAGAAAAGTCAGCACATTTCTTCTTTGTTTTTCTCTCATTCCACCAAGATACATAATACATGCAAAAATAAAAAATTTTTGAGTTGGCAATAAGTTGCTATGTGAAGAACAAAGAAAAGCTTAATAAAATTGAAAGGCAGATGAACTGAAACAGTAAAAAAAAAAATTTCGGTGGCTGACACGATACAGAAAGCATTGATTCAAAATTTCTGATTCAAGGATGATAGCATTTGGCAGCTTGAAATGAATGAATAACAAAAATATATGAACTTTTTATATTTAGGACAAAGTTCAGATGGGAATTTACAGACATAAGGAACAAAGCAGCTCCCTTCCTTCTGTTAGAGAGATCTCCTGTAGGCTTGCAACTGGGAAAAGTCTAAACAGCATTGTGGAGTTTTACATCAGGTTGGAGAGCTCATAGCCAGAGAGGGTCTGTTGTATTTTAGGTAATGGTTCTGTCTGGAGGGACAAGAATCAGTTTGCTAAACATGGGGATGACAATAAATGTTTGGTACCAAATAAACCCTGTAGGGTTATGTGCTCTCAGTTAATACTGTCCAGATCCCCTTTCTTGTTCCTTTCATGTGTTTGCTGGCTTTGGGTTAGCCTAAACTTGCCCCACTGCTCATCCTTTATTTCCCATGTGAGTCAATGTCTTCAGGTGAGCAAAGGGTGAAGGAGGGAATTTTTTTGGATGCTAATGAAGTATGGGTAAATAAATAAGCCTTCTCATATTGAAAATAAGAATGGGTGAAACATAAGTGAATTTCTCTTTCTGTGTTTGTCAGCAAGAACACAGATGTCAGGACTTGAATTTTTTTCTGTGTGATGATGCTTGACTGCAGGTTGGGTGCTGCAGTGGTGCTTTTAATACAAGACTGTGCTAGCCATTACTGACAGCCAAGTTATAGGCAATAGGAACAAATGAGCATTTCTTAGAGGATGAATATAAATCTGAGCATTATCCAGAGGGGCTGTAGTGTCTCACTCCTTTGAGTTATTCAAAAAACACTCAGACAAAGTCCTCAGCTAGTAGCTTAAGGTTTCTCTGCTTGATTGAGGGAGTTGGACAAGATGACCTTCACAAATACCTTCCTACCTCAACTGTTCTAGGAACCTATTATCCTTTGCTATTTTTCCAGTAATAAACTTTTCAGGACATCTCTATCCTTTACAGTAGCTCTGATAAAGCTACTGAGAAAGATATAATGTAATTAGAATCAACTATTTTAACATGCAATCAGAAACTGTTCTGAAGAAGAAAAGCAGGCTGCACCATCAAGGTAAAGGTGATAGCTGTTTTCAGCTTCAGAACAAGTGAGTGAACATTAAGGCTACCTTTTAATGTCAATATAAGTAGTGGGACATGTAAAAGTGGGACAGCTACAAGCGCAGCTACAAGTGGGACATGTAAAAGCTACTTGTTAAGGAAAGTGTGGTGGTTTTTTGGTTGCATCATTATATTACACAGAAAAAGACAGCTCTATCTGCAGGATATCAGCTGAATATTAGCAACAAAACTAAATTGCTGAAAAGACGTTATTTAGCTTTTTAGTTTATCTTTCTTTTTTTTCTTGAAACAGTTGAAGCTCTGCATTTGGGAACTCTGATGGCAGCACATGGCTATTTCTTCCCAATTTCAGACCATGTTCTAACCCTGAAGGATGATGGCACCTTTTATCGATTCCAGGTAAGTATTTTCGATCTGTTCTTGACTTTCACAAATGGAGCCTGAAAGGCCTTACAGAAAAGTTCATAGCAAATTTAATCATACTTTGTTTCTTACATAACCTGGTAAAGAGTAGAAATTCTCCTAAAAGTAACAAATTGTAGTAGTATCTTATTTATAAATTTTCAGCAAAGTGTTGAGATGATAGTGGCTATTTTGATATTTGGAAAAAAATTGTGAAAATGCTGAGTGTGGAACTATCTGTCATGAAATAAATTAATGTACTATTTTTGAAATATAGTAAACTATATTATGTTATTGCCTCTTATTCCTAGTATGGTCTGAATTTAGAAAGGGGGAGATATTTTAAATATCAAGTCTATACCAGAAATCTGATAAGTAATGGATTAATATTTATTTTTTTTATTTTGTGAGAGTTTCCTTACTGGTAACTCAGTAGTATTGGAGTAGTGTGTATTCTTCTAGCAAGTGCAGAGACATTTTTATATTGATCTGTCAGTCCCACTGCATACAACCAATGGGCAGATGGTTCAGAACAAGCTGGAAGCATTGTATATATGTATATATGTCTATACCTACACTTACACATATATTATTCAGAAACCCACATAGTTGTATTTCATTATATTAGGTTTCTAAGGCCCTGAGAGCAGAAGTGTTGTTTTTCTAATAATGACTAATGGGCTAGAATTTTGCAGATGATTTCAATATTGCCAATGATTTCAAACAAATATGACTGCAAAGTACCAGATTGTGGATTCAGTTGAAAGGATTCACTTTGTTTGTCATGTCTCACTTTTGACATTGGTGGCTGTGTCCCGTATTGCTCTTTCTATGCGGTGGTATTCCTGGGCAGTATTACCAAGAGCTGCTCCTAGCTCTTGTTTAGATATTTATTGCTTTGAAATGATATGATGACTATCACTATGAAATTAAGTTTGTTAATTCTTCTCTGTTACTTCTAACTGTATTAAATATTCAGTAAAATAATATCTGGTAGAACAGAATCTATTGTCTTCAATATATATACATCTAAACTTTGTCTTAAAGATTCTTTAAAAAAAGAAGCCATCAAAAACAAAATAGTACTGAAATTGTGATCTTTCAAATGCAGGAGAAAACTGGTGATTGGAGACCAGTCCAATAGTTTCAAACATTGTATTATATTAATCTCTCTACAATACTTTCACCAATATTTTGGCTTAAGTCTCATAGACCCACATAAGGGAAGAGAAAGACTTGTAATATTTGTATAAATCAAAATCTTAGCATGAATAAAATTAAATATGCACAGCAGAGACTGGCAATGAAGAGTGTTATTGCATACATGCAAACAATATTATCCTATTTTCATATTTATATCTTGTGAGTCAGACTGCAAAAAAGCTGTTCTTCAACAGAGCAGAAAGTTAGATTTGTACATGGGTAATACTAAGAGGAAGCATTCCAAGCCTCCTCCTCTAGATCCACAGTTACCTTTGATCCTGGAAAGACTATTTGAAGTAAAAGGGGTTTTTAAGCTCATGAGGCTTCAATCTCCTCAGTGCTCAGTATAAAGAAGAAAGATAGCACATGGTTGAAGGGGCTTGCTGATGTGCTTATAAGGCAAGTGGAAAGGAATCATGGAGTGGTTGAGGCTCCAATTCTTGGCTCAGTGTCTAAATAAGCAGTGTCCAGAAGGACAAAATATACATCAACTTGATTTTGTGGAGAGTAGTACTTACCTACAGGAGTGCTTGTCATTGAATTCTGCACAGCTGCCTCCATCTCCAGCACAAGAAATGAGCACCTTTGCTGGCATGACAGTCTGACTGAAGAGAAGTATGGACTAGAATTACCTGCGCCATGGACCACTGAGAGTCCTGCAGCTACCCTGCTTTGAGCTTTCCTCACAGAGGTCCACAGCCTACATTTGGACCCAAAGCTTCAGTGAGGGCTAGATTGTATAATCTTCTCAGTGTATTTACATAAGTTAAGAATTTGGCACCTATTTGACAAATGCGTATGAAATAAGACGCTTTAATCAAGTGTTGCTCAGCCTGTATCTGCAGTGTTTGGCTTGTTTGCTTTTCTGTGGTACCTTTTGCATTGCCATTCCTATGCCAACAGCATGACTTTGTTGTTGTGACAATGCAACTTTAGCTGTTAATGTATAGGATGAGAAAAAATTCATAGTGGTGACATATTGTTAACTGGAGTTATAACAGCAAAATTTGTGTGCTTACATCTCCATGTTCCCCACCAAAATAAGGCTGGTATAAAATCTGTTACTGAACTGCTAAATTAGAAGATGAAGAGAACATATTCAACGGGGAGGAAAGTTTGACTGCAAATGTGTGAATTTTGCCCTAGAATAGATGGTCAGGTTCTCTGCACATAGTACCCTCTTAGTACTGGATGGGATTCACAAATTTCCAGATATTTTGATAAAAAGAGAAAACCATGCACCTGCCAGCACTGAAAAGTTCGGAAGCCACACCTGCAGAGAAATATTTGCAATACAAAGACCTAACCTACAAAAAACAGACTAGCTATGGTAATGTTCTCCATGTGCTTGATGTTTTGTTCTCAAAAGGGTGACACATTCCCTCCTGACAGTAAAATTATCTCTAGCTTGTTTTAAACCACCTTCTGTTGTATAGAAATAGCTAAAAGCAGTGGAGCTTCATTTGGACAAATGCCCTTTTATGGGCAAAAATTATTCTTTTCCAGTTATTACTCTTGCCATCAGGAGGCAAGAGTATAGTCACATCTGCTTTTTTAAATAATATGAAATAAAAAAAAAAAGATGGATCATTCAGTGACCTACTCAGGTGTTAATTAGGTTCGTTTCTGTGATATCAATTTAATTCAAAGGAGATGAACATAAATATTAATTGCCTTATTAAGAGAGGAATTTTTTTATTAGACTCAATAAGAAAAAGCAGAAACAGCTGCATTGCCTTTTCCTGGTAATTTAAACCGGTGACCAAAAAAGGAGGTCACCATCTTCCTCTACCCGAGAGCAAATAAATATGAGGGGCCCAAATAAGAAAAGCAAGCTGCATCTTGGAAAACATATCTTCCCTGGGCCAGGGATTACTCATAGAGATGTTTCATTTATGTCCACACAAATGATAATATGTCCATCTTGGTGAGGAATGCCTGACTTGCCCTCTCAGCTGGTAAGCTTCTGTAATATCATCCCACAGAAAAATACGCTAATTTCCTCTACAAGCCCTGAATGCATAGTGTCTCCTGATGTTAATTGTGAAAAATAACATTTCTAGTATCTTTTGGCTGTAAAAAAACTCATAGGATACCTGAGACTAGTGATAGTCACACTCCCATTTTTAAATGAGATTAATTCATGATTTGCATTAATTAATTTTCTGAGATGAGGGTTAGGCTTTGCTATTGTTTTGTACCTTTTAAGATGAAAGGCACAAATATCTGAGGAAAAGTATGAAAACAGGAACAGTTTCTTGTGAAAGCAAGAGTGAAGGTAGCAGCAAAATTAATGGACCTTGGAAAGATGAAGGACTTTAGTGTCTTCTCCTGTTCTGCCTCTGGGAACCCTTTCTTGACAAATGCATTTAATTGATCTGGCCTTGTTTTCCCATGCCTAAAATTGGGGATGAAATTATATAGGAATCACTGAAAGGATCTTGAAATATCTTTGTTGCAAAATAGTTTAGAGTGTGAAGTGTTGTGGACACCTCATGTCTCAGGTGGAATGACATTGCTTTACACATCTCTATGAGCCAGCCTTACTGAGCTGGCTTCTTCTAGGCTTGTTCTGGACCAACCTCTGGCCATTCTGAATTCTGAGTCTGTGGCTGAATATCACAGTTCTTCAGCCACTCTCCAGAGCCTTTCTGGGTAATCTACTGTGCCTTGAGGGAAGGATTTTATTTGAAGCCAGATTTTAGAAATGAAAAAGAAACAAGTTACATTATGCAGAATTTAGCAGATTTTTTTTGGCAATTGCAGGTGTGATAACTAAGTAATTGTCTTTTAAGGTCAGGCTTGGTATATACAGGTTCTGTTAAGGTTTCTGAGGGAAAAAGATTTCAAATCCATGTGTCTTTCTGACTGCCCCATCAGTGCCACTTTTGATTTTTTTAACTCCTTACTCAGACACACTTTGCCCCACACTGCTTTCCGTGCTCATCCTCTTTTTGGTTAGAAAAGAGGAGCCACAGAGCCAAAATCTTGTTTCCAAATTCTTCAGCCTCTTTTTTAATTATATTGAGCTAATCATGGAGCACTACTTGCTTCCTGTATGGGCATGACAGTGCTAGACTGGCAATCTTACCCTTTTACTTTACCAAGAAATCATGTTTATGAAGTGCAATGAATGTAAAACAGAATGCCAGTGAAACCCGCCATCCATCACGCAAAGCATTTGAGATTGTGCATAGCCACTTTTCAGCAGAGGCTTCATTTCTGCTGTTTATAAAGACTCCCTGGTGCCTGAGAGAAGAATAGCAGTAATATGCAAAGGTTTATAAGTGGTTTGAGTACTCCCCCCCATCCAAGTAATTGGATTTTAAAAAATTTTGTGGAGTGGAACGGAGCAGCTTCAGAGACAACTCTTTTCTTATTACTATCAACAAGGGGTAGCTGAAAGTTGCCTAGTGATTTCCTTCCTTGGTTATAGAGTTTAATGCATAGAAATTAATCATGTTTTATAAAAGCTGATGGGTAACACTGATTTTTACAAGTGGCTGTTTCATTAGCTCAGATATTGTTATTGATTAATTTTGAGGTAAAGCCAAAGCAGATCTATTTACTTTATCACTGGATTACTTACAATGCATAGCATCCACTGCTGCTAGTTTGTTTATTGTGGAATATGTGCTATATTACAAGCTTTTGTTTCATATGACTTTATTACAGGAGGATTATGGATTTATGTGGTTAGGTTTACTTAACGATATTAGTGTATAACTCAAGAGAACCAGTATGTGTTTGTGTGTGCAAAACTAGTTTTGTGGTTAAAGGGCATGAAGGTCCTTGTAACTGTTTTGTTCAGCTTAAACATATCTGAAGTCATATCTGCAGTGCTAGGTAAGCCTTATTTCTCTTCCTCCCGACTTGTTCTGGCTGCTGATTCAAGTTACACCTACAATCAAACAAAGTGCCTCAAAAGCATACTGATAAAAACTGGCAGCATTATTTCTGCCTGGGCTGATAAACAGTTCTTGACTTTCCCATAGCCGCTCTACCACCCACCTTCCTTCAGCTGCAAGTGGGATGTCATGGCAAAATGACAAATGTTCTCTCTTTAATACTTCTTCATGATGAACTGCTTCATATTTCCTCCTGAGGAAAAGTAAAATTCTTAAGGATGATAATTTCTTCAAGTTTTCTACACTCATGAAAGATAACCAAACCACATCAATATTTCATTATCTTCTCTTTGAAAATGGTGGAGTTATGTAATGTACATGTTAATAAACGTACATGTTATACCACATCCATAGCTCTCCTGGGTGAAATCATCACTTAGGAGCTTCTAGATCAGGAAACCAGGCACACAGATTGTGTAATATTCATTCTATAGGGATATTTGACATTGCAAGGGATGCTATAATTATTCTACAGTGTATTTGGATATGTGATTTGTAACAAATAGTTGAACCAAGCTTTGTTTGCATAGTCCAGCAATTTAGAAGGTAATTTATGTGAGCAGAGCCTCCCTGCATTGCTGTGGGATATTTTTAATAGAACAGATGAGAACAGGCAGCTTTTTTCCTTTGCACATGCCTCCTATTCTCATTCCTGACCTCATTCCATTAGACCAGGGATCTTCGTATCAGACTCTTTTTATTTCCTAATCCTTCTGTGTTGAACAAGGCAAATCTTTTTCCCATAGTCTTCATGGATAACCTGTCTAGCAAATTCTTCTCAGAGATTGTTAAATATCTGGAGTGTGAAATTGTGTGGAGACTTTTGGAACAGAAGTGGAAATGTAAGCTCACACTTAAATTATGGTCACGTGTTATGTGATTAAACTGTTTGATGTCTGTAATAAGGAACAAGGTAAACTTCAGATTAAGAAAAGAATTTTATGACTGTTAAAAGCAAGAAATTAGACAAGAAAATGTGGAATATTCCTTTGGAAAAACATCAGTCATTTTAACTGCATGCATGTTTATTGTTGGTGCTTTTTGTCCATACAATCCCAGCATTTCAAAAGTCCATTAAGCAAAAACTGATTTTATATCAGGCTTTATTTTCAGTGTCCAGAATTTAAAAAAAATTTTTTTCTTGATGTTTTGGACTCTCTTTCTTTTTAAATCTTTATCTGTATCCTGTCCTATTTTTTGCCTGTTTTTAGGAGAGTTTTCCTTATCTCTGCACACATCGATGCTATTTCCTGCTTTGAAAATGTATGTTAGATATCTACTCTTTGAATACAACTTTATCAGCAGCTGTAGCTGTATTTGAGCACATATCTTAGGGTGATACCATAAGTCTTTACTTGCTGCTAAGAAAGTAATGTAGGATGTTTATTTCTCTACTAGTAGGGATTTTACACTGTCAGTGACCTAATGAGCTTTTGAAAAATCCAAGTATTAGCAACCTTTAGCTTTCAAAGATTGGAAACATATAGAGTATTACAACTGTTCAATCTAAAGAGTAGACATATAGAAACATTATAAAAGAGAAAATTTTAGCTTTTTACCTTTTCTGGAAATACACATCTTCCCTTTGCTGTAATCTTCTGAAGCTCCTCTGCTTTATGCAATGTTTTTAAAAATAATGTCCATGTTTCAAAGGTTGCTTGAATGAATATTTTTTCTGTGTATAAATTACCCTTCAGGTAATTGCACCCCTTTAAACATCATGCAGATAATTCAGTACTTTTGATAACTGTCACCAGTTAGATAGTCATTGTTACAAAGTATTGGAAATAGAGGACAAAGAGAAATACCAGAGGAAGTATTTCATCAAAATATTTACACATGCATATAAATCACAGTCCTGAGGAACCAAGAGTCATTCTTTAGCTTGGTGAAGCTTTTTTTTTTTTGCTTTTTTGGAAATAAACACAGTTTACCTATGTGAAAACACAAAAAATCCTTAAGCTTTCTGTGCTGAATTTCATCAGCCTTCTAACCTGAACTGTCTGACCTCATAAAAACATTTCCCTCTCTAGATTTTTTTTTTCCCTGTGCTTTGCCCTGTAGCCTTATCTCCATGTCCAAATTAATTTTGGGCATGTTGGCAGAGCTGATTGCAGGCAGAGTTGAACTCTGTTCCCTCTGGGAGGCAGCTGGCTGGGGGCCAGCTCTGGCCACGCTGCAGTGCCTGAGCCGATGAGCTGAGCTCCTCAGCGAGTCCCATCAAACGCATCCAAGCCCAGGCAGGAGGGGTCAGGGCTGGCAGTGCAGGGACAGCTGCTGCCTGCCCGCCTCAGAGCCTCGGCAGAGACCTCATGCCTCTGTGGAAGACCTTTGCCTGCCCACCATCTCCCTCCTGCAGACTCAAACAAGGAAGGCATTTAATGATCTTCTGTACTTATCTGTACTAGCTGTTACTTGAACCCCTTTCTCATCTTGTAATGTCTGCCTTTTACTGGGGTTTCTCTTTTTGCTTGCCCTATCGCACATCTTTGAAACCTTTTATTATGGCTTATCATGTGCTTTGCTAATTAAAACTCATGTTCTGTTTTAACTTTTCTGCTTTTATCTCCCTGGCACAGAGAGGCTTACACTCATCCTTAGTAGCCAGTGCATTATTTTCTGCTTTTTCCTCAGTCTCTTCTCCACATTTAGGTTGAACCTTTTTATCCTTTAGAAAAGCCTTGGTCATCTCTGCCTCCTAGCGAGCTAAAGTGACAACATTTCACAACACTGAAGATCATGTCCCCTTTCCTATATTGTGTTTAATGCCCACACTGCCTTCACCCTGAAAGTGCGAGTTTCAGTAAAATTTAAATGTGTTATTTAAACTAAATACTGAAAAAAGTACTCTGGCCACACATAGCTTTTCATTTATGTATGAAACAGCAGAGTCCTCCTGTACCATCATTAACATAGTTATGAATATATAGTATTTGTTCATAGCCTGTTGTGAGATGAGTGCTGAAAGCAACGTTTGGGATTTTTCCCTAAGTCAGAAGATGGAATTTGTTTTTAATTTCAATTGGGATGGGAGTATATGCAATTTGTCATGAGAAATCCTAAGTATGCATGAGGAGCTTTAATATGGACTTTGGAGCAAGTATGCCCACAACTGGAAGAGTTTCAGCTGGAGAGCTGCTTGAGCAGATATGGCTTCTATGTGTTTAGTAACCCTCACTACACACTTTTTTCAGAAGCTCTGCTTGAACCTGTAAACAGAGTTTAACCTTCCTTTTAGCAGAGAAATGATGTAGCTGTGTTTTTCTTCTTGGGCCTCTCTGGATATACATTCTATGCTCTAAGGAAGGACTGTTCTCACTTCCTGAGTTTGTAAACTGTATATTTCAATGATGGTGACTTTTTGCTTTATATGAATTACTCTATTAAATTTTATAGTTGCTTCTCCAAAATGTGCTGATTACTGCAATTCATTCTTTAGGAGTTCATATTTTTTCTAGTTGTGCTTATATGTACTTCTACTGGTCACTTTCTTTCAGTGGCACTGTGAAGGAATGGTTGATTGGAGGATTACTTTTTGTTGGTCCCTTAAAATATACCAAATGGCTTGCAAGAAACACATCTTAGCCTTTGAAGTTAGCTTGTGATAGTTCCTTTTTTATCCTTTAGCTCTTTGCTGTTGCTTGATAAATAACAAGGTCTAAATTGCTTCTATTAAATTTGATGTGTCAATGTTACAAAACCAAGAGATTTTTCACAATATATATTTAATTTGACAATTGGTGTGAATGTGTCACCCTTCAGCCCTGTTGGTATCCAGATTAACATTAAAACAGTTTTGAAGGGAAGTGGGCAGCAAAGAAGTTTCCATTTTTTGCAGCTGGGAGATTTTTGAGAAAAAACAATGAGAAATAGAGAGTAAAGCAGAAGGTTTTCCTGAAGAACCACCTGTGTTTTGAAATACCACTCAAACCACTTCACACATTTAATGAGTTGCATTCAACTGCTCAAATATTATGTAATTCTCTGTAGCTGTGTGTATGTGTTTATGTATAGATCAGTCACTCAATCACAGAATATTCTGAGTTTTAGGGGACCCACAGGGACCATTGAGTCTGACTCTTAAGTGAATGGCCTGTATTGGGATTATGTGCTCTATAAAAATGCTATAATAATATCCATTTTAACCAAAAGTTGTTATTTTAGAAATGAAGTGATTTGTATGAAAAATGTCTATACAGACTTATATTCTCCATTTGTTTGAAGGGAATTCTTTGAACAATACATGTAGCACAGTCTTAATAAGTATAGTGTTGAAGTAGTTTTTGATACTTTATTGTCTTTCCCTTAAAAAGCCCCCACATTTTAAATCACAACCAGTAAACAATTATTAAAAAGGAGGTGTTGATGTCTTTGTGAAAACAGGATGTTTTTAGAGGCACTTTTAAACAAATAACACCTAGGAAAGATAATTGAATATTAATCTGTGAATGAAAACTCTCAAAAATCAAGCACCGAATGAACTTCAAAGCATCTTCTGTCTTTATACCTCTAAACCTGATTCTCCAGGACATGTGAGAGATGTATTTCTAGGGAAAATGTAAAAGACAACCCCATTATCTAGCCTTGTGGGTTTTTTTCCCTTAACTTTGAGAACAAAAAACCCACCTTTTTTTTTTCTTTTTCAATGTCATTCCCACACTAGTGTGATAAACAGGTGTACAAATGTAATTTTCTGTTTTGATGCCTATTTTAAAAATGTCAAGTTAACAGTTTAATAGATCTACCAGAAATATAAAATTATTCTGAAAACCAGTAACTATTCAAGGACTGTATAATGCTTGCATTGTCTAACTTGAGTTTCCTACTTCTTTTTTTTTTGCCTATAGACACCCTATTTTTGGCCATCAAATTGTTGGGAGCCGGAAAACACAGACTATGGTCAGTGTAGAAATACTTCCTATTTCTTTTGGAAATTATGCATTTTGTTAATGAATGTGTCATAGCAATCTGTCTTGTTTCACCATCCCACTGTTTAAAAGATAATTATATGTCATGTAGTTTCTGTGCAAGAGCTACTGCCATTGAAATGAATGTGTTGCTACCTTTTTCAAAGTTTGTCAGAAGCTTATCAAAGTCATATTTTGGAGTGGATCTGAGGAAAAAAATAAAAACCCCAAGCCCTAAAAGTCAAGACTCATCATAACCCAGCTTACTATTTATATTCTCTGTTTGCTCCAGCAAGTGTAATTATTTACAATGAGAGAATCTCAGTGAAGCAGAGGAGACTTTATTGATGGTTGTGAAATGGTTATTATCAGATTGAGAACCAAAGATTTGCCTAGTTTAAAACTCTTATTTCCAATATACACCATGTGGAAAACTGCTGATTATGAAAACCAATATAGTTCTAATATGAACTGTATTAGAAAATACTGTTTATTTTTTATTTGCCTGTGTCTTGGGAGTTTATCAGTAAAGTATATGTTGTAATTACTGATGTGTGCTTAGACAGCAAAATTTGAGGACAATAGGTGGCAATGTATTAGAAAAAAACATTATTAAAAATTATAAAAAAGTTAGGTTCTTCTGTACTCAAATAGTGACCTCATTTTTAAAGAAAGTGTATCTATGAGCAGCCTCCTGTTCATTCTAATCCAAACTAAGTACTGAGCTCATCTGAAGACCAGGTCACTTGTTTAGGTAACTGAGCATGTACATGATAGGTTTTGTTCTCAAAACTTCAGACCATGAATATCTCATTTTACAGCTTTTCAGAAATGTGAGTGTTCACTTGTAATTTGGATTCTCTGCCCTTGGGAGCCAAAGACTTCAGGATGGATGGTTCCAATAAATTCTTCCTTCCTTTTTAAAGCAGGCTCGGTTTAATTTCAAATACATTGCCAAATAAAGTAATTTTAAGCCGAAACTCTTAGCAGAGCTGCACATGTCTCCAAGGTACAGTTTGAAAATGTGACAGTTTCCTCATTCTATTGGAGTAGAAAAATGTTCAATTTTTCACTGATATTTGAAGATGTCCAGTAAATAGTTACTGAAAGCTCCCGAGGAGGAGGGATTGTTACCACGTGTGTGTGCTTAGCCACTCCAGAGGAGGAAATGAGTCACTGAAGGAAAAAGGCTTGATTTACCATTTATTACTTCATTAAAGTCCCCTAATATGTTAAAGATCAGCAAGTAATTAACTATGGTTTAAGAGACATTGAGTTGTTCAGCTCTAATGTATCACATTACCAGGATGGTTTTCATAAATAATTACATGCTTACCATGTCTGAATTTAAGATCAGGCTGAGAAAGTTTATATTACTGTCCTTTATTCTAAAGTAGGAGATACTAAGTTTCCTGTCACACCTGATCAGTGGATTGGTCAATGAATTATAAACCTTAGTCAGTAAATAGAAATCTTGTATAGTGTGTCCAGGTTTGCACACCATGAATATAGCGTTAAACTTGGAATCAGTGTCTTCATCATGCAGGGAGGTGCTTTTGTTGAACAGTAAATGTACTCACTTGAGAGCTTTTGAGATTTAAATAGGTTTCAGTTGCTGAGGTAAGCTCTTTAGTTGCAGAGGAGACAAGGAAGGGGAAGCAAATCCCCCAGTCCTGCTATCTCATTGCTCCTTCCATGTCATGAGCCAGAAGTGCAATCCTGTATGAAACAGACCCACAGCCTCCCTGTGCAGCCGGGCCAGAGCATTGTACTGGAGCTACCAAAGGGGACTGTGTGTCACCAGAACTGGATAATGCTGGGGCATTTGCAGGAAAATAAACTTTTAAGGCACCTTTTCAATACTGTTCTTATTAGGTTAGCATCATCCAAATCCCAGAAATTAGCATTTCCCTTGTAAACAATGGTGATCAGAGGAATACAGGAAAATGAAAATATTTCATCAAAATATTTAAGGAACCAAAATAAATCTAAAGTAGGTTTGCATGTTCTGCAGATTTTCATGGTAATTGTTATTTCCTGGAAAATATAGTACATAGAATTTATGTTATTACAGATATGCAAATGCATTTCATACTTATCATGCATTATGGTGCTGTGTAGTGCTACGAATTTCATGGACTTGTCTTGAACGAGCTTAAAACTGTGCCCTCTAAAATTATTGACTGTGGCAGGCATTAGAAGTCTTTCAAGACCAGCAAAAAGCAAACTCTCTCTGAAATCTTCCTTGATCAAAAAAATACTAACAAGGCAAATAAATTTATTTGCCATTAACTTATTTTAACTAGCCATTGTAAATACTCTAGAATTTTATTTTAATTTAAAAATTAATCCTAACCATTCATCTTTACTCATCCATAACTGAGCTACTGTCCAGAATGTAGCATACTGCCAGGAACATAATTTATCTTAAACAAGAAATTAAATGAGATTGAGATACTGTCTGTTAGTTTATTACCAGAACTAACTAAGAAATAAATAATCCTTACATATTTGTATAATATGTTAATATCTTCTCCAAAATATAATTTGATCCATGTGGGCTTGTAATAGCAATTATTTGCCTTAAAAAATATTTTTCTGTGGAAAGTATAACTGAAAAAGATATACAAATAGAATCTTCCAATATACATCACAAACCCACAGACACATTCTGATAATAAAGCTGTAGTGCACTGCTACGTTGTGGTGGCAAAAAGAGGGCTTGGATTAAGTTAATTTATGTCAAAATGGAAAATAGCCTTTTGATTGTAATTTCCAAAATATTGACTATGATCATTCTGAGGTAGCTGAGAACAGCCAATTTTCTTAAAGTGCTGAAAATCTTCCTACTTTTTCTTGAAAATCATGCTTTAAGTGTTGTCAAGAGAGATTCCTCAAATTGCAAATAATTTTTACAAAGGCCGGTCCTTACGTTCCATCTGTTGAAGTCCCATTTTAGAGCCATATGTCTTGGAGTCCACCCAGGCAGGACATGTTGTTCTTTGTAGAATCCCATTGGTTTTAGAGCGATTTTGTTAGTGAAAATAAGTAGTAATAATAACAACTACTATTATTAAGGCTGGTGTAGTTCAAATAACTTTGCTTTTTCCTGTGAGTTAAGTCATGTTCCTGAATTATGATTAGGTTTTGTGACAAACAGAATTGGATCTCAATTCAGAAAACCTGGCTCTTGAAATAGACACAGCTAGTGGCTGAGCATGTGACCTGCTTGGAATTATCCTCTCTTTTCTTACAGATATAATTTTGTAACTGATGGATTCTTTTTTTCCTGGCATATTATAAACAGGTCATGTCATTAAGGATTAGTTAAATAGAGGAGCTAGTTAAGATAATTGCATCCCAGAAAGGGGAAATATAATGCCACATATGATGTTGTTATTCCATGTGCATTTGGTCTCAGTTCTAATGGAACCTGTCAGGTTCTCTTGGAGGTTTAGTCATTCACAGCTGTTGCAAATTTGAGGCATTTAGTCCATTACTGTCCTCTTTTTTGAATAAGTAGAAAATATGAAATGCTAGGGAAAAATTCAATTCACAACGAAGTGGCAATTATTTGGTTTTTTTTAATTCTTTAGGCTTAATTTAACACATTTGTGAAAATGTAAGAGGATTGTAAGAATTTCAGACATAAAATAAGAAGAATTAGTAACTTTTACTCATTTTCTCTAGCGAACTTTTGCTGATAGTGCCCTACTAACAGAGGGCACCCAAAAGTATCTTTGACATATCAGTTATAGTCTTAAGGATGTTTGGACATACTAGAAGACAAAAAGTCAACTGCATCTATATAGTTGCAACAGGATATTTGAGCATTGTAAATATTTTGTGTTCATTTCTCTCAAATGAGTTTAAAATGGAGGAGGACTGCAGAATGTTGGTAAGTTATGGAGAACACAGTAGATAACTGATAATGCAACATAAGTTTAAGGGCACTTGACCATGTGATCTTTAAGTGATGCTAAATGAGACTGTTTTTCTCTATCTTCAAAGCAAATTCTTAAATTCTGTTGCTGTGAAGAAAGACAAGTTTTGAAAACGTAACATATTTTCAGTAGCTTTCCAGGTAAAGTCATTACAAAGTATTACAAAGGCAATCTCCTAGGAAATTAGAGCAATCATGGGGGTTGGGGTAAGTCTTAATTAGTTGCTCCCTTTTAAAGTGTGAGATACTTTAAAAATAAACTGACAGAGGCCTCTCCATGTTTTGTCTCTGCTGCTCTGTTCTGAACATGAACCATTTCACCTGGCTCATTTCCCTCTTCTCTCCCCAGCCCACAGTAATGCTAAAAAGTACATATTGCACAAAAAGTAACTGCAGTCATGGATCATATGTTTTGAAAGCAAATTTTCATATGTTGAACATTTTCATATAATTTTCTCTTTGGAGTCCCTTGTTTGCTTGTTTTCCATGCTTAGCTTCAAATTCCTCTATGAAAACTTGAGTAGTCCAGGAATTTCCTCTCTCATTTGTCTTTCTATACCCTTTACCATAGAGTGACTGTTTGGAAGAGCTGTGGGGAGAATGCATTGTATATTTTCATTGCCCAAATGCACAGGAAGGATTTCCTTGGCAACAGCTTATTAGTAAGCAATTTTTATTTGAGAAATACTGATCCCTATTGCTTACCTGAGCTCTGCTGGAACACTGCATGTTCTCAGCATCTCTGGAAATCAATCCATAACTATGAGTCAATAGCTTGGGGCAAAACATTTGATAATATCAAGAAACATGAAATGATTCAATGGATGTAGTTTTAAATTGTATTTGACAATTGGATATTCTTAGTCTGATCTTGGGTGACATTTTTCCCATACCCGTTTTTTGTCACCCTGCAGGATTTTCCAAGGCCATCATCATCTGGGGACTTCTGTATGTTGAAGATGAATTTGCCTTTTTCTAATTCTGGATCTCTTCAGTAGTTTGAAATTTGGGTTCTTTCTTGCTCTTTGTTTATGTAAAAAAGTCCTCTGCTTGTGTAAATCTATAATCGAATTGCTTTCCTGAAGTCATATAGGAAAGAATAGGATCTAAGAGTAAAGACTAGAAATGGAGAGAAGTGTTTCAGAAGTTAAGGTTTTGATGATTTGGCAATTTGATGCAAATAAACCTGATCATGGTCTTCCTTCTAACTTAATTTTATTAGCATTTACTTAAGAGTGTGGTTCTTTTGTAGATACACAGGGCTCTGTGGTGACCCATTTTTAAGACTAAGTGAAACTCAATAGCTGTTGCTAAGGGCAATTTTTTTCCTATTGACTAAGAGCAGAGGTGACCTAAAGATGGTATGAAATAGCCCTAGAAATTCCAATGTTTAAATAAAAGAGTTAATTTCATGCTTTCCATCCTGCAGTCATGTTTTGTGCTGATTGTCCTGTAATTCTCCATCTGAAGCAGGCACTTGCATATAGAGGGAGAGCTGCCTGCCCACAGGGCACTTTGAAACTCTTAGACCTTGCAGTACTTGCTATTTTCTTTGCTCTTTAGATACAGACTAGGCTTATAACACACTGACTCTGAAAACAGGATTTTGGCTCAGGGAGTACATAAATTTAACCTGGCCTCAGTGGAGATAAAGAGTGTTCACTGAAAACACGCTTGTGTGAATCCAGCTGTGACCCCACTGGCACTGTCACAGTTAGGGAAGGAGTTTGTGTACATGGTGGTGGGGGTGTAGGTGCCATAGTCTGTGGTCTTCAGAGGCCCAGTAGAACTTCCATTGAATTTAGCTGTGGCCTTTGCTCCACTGTGGCAAAAGGGAAGATTTAGCCCCTGTTTAGCAACAAGATAAAACTCCTCAGTGTGGGTTTTGGGTGAAAGTTCTGGGTTTGTTTTTTTGTGGGTTTTTTGAGTAAGTATAATATAATGTGTACTCAGTCCAGTTTCTTGAGCCTAGAATGAAATGTGTCATAAATCTCTAAGATCTTATCTAAAGAAAAAATCTATAGAGGTTTCTTAGGAGCTTTCAAATGCAAGTGAACTGTCAAGAATAGGAAACGTAGCAAACGATGAAATTTTTTTTTTTTGAGTGTGATAGTTTAAAAACTTGCAAGAGGCAAAGTACAGGCATCCTCTCTATGCAACTCTGGATTTGTAGTCTTACTTGAAATTCTCAGATTGCCCACATTTTGTGAATGCCTGCACGGAATTTTCAAGAGCTAGTAGACTGTATTTACTGCACAGCTACAGAAACGTGTTTCAATACTTGTTTCTTGTTCAAATACCCATTTATAAACATCACTGACCATCTTTCATCGTGAAATGTTACAAATTAATATGGCCTTTAAAATTATTGGCAAATCTGTTCTCTCATGGTAATCAGTCACTTCTAAAGCACAAGCTATAGCATCTAATATATAATTCACTTTAGTAGAGGCAATTATGTTGATTGCAAAATCCATCAGAATACACTGGCTCTAAAAATAAGTGTATAAGGCAGTCCATATTTAGCAAATTGAGGTTATTAATCAGACCCCGTTCCTTGCATATCATTCATCCCCATGGTGAGCATTTTTCAGCACCCTTGTCAGGGAGGGGCAAGCAAGGGCAGGTAGGCAAGAACTGAGGTTGGCAGCAGTGCAGGTAGGAACAAGGTAGCAGCATGGATAGGCTACAGGGCTGCTTAGAGATCTATCTACAACACAACACAAGCCTGTGCCAGGGGGGTAGCTAGGCTTGAGCACAATTCCTGGGTACAGGCCTCAGTGGAACCCCTGTATGGGATCCTTGGTGGAATTACAGCTCCTTGGTGTACTGAGGGCCCTGACCAGGAGCTTTGTGGGATAGATAAATAGAGAGCTATGTATAGAAATAGAGAGCTTTAGTTGGAGATCCTTCCTACAGGCTGCACTTCTTGTGAAACTGTAAAAACACTGTCAACATGTGGGATTGGAAAAGCAGACACTGTAATTCACTGAAATTCTGGGAGATCCTGACTCTGCTTTGAGAGGGAAATTGATTGACGTCCTCAAAATCCAGCTACTGGACAAGTACAGTTACTTCATGTGTGATTTGGTGCAGAAAAGGAGTGGTGCCTGTGAAAGGTACCATATTTCAATCCATATTTCAAATCTCATTGTCCTGAAAGTCAGAAGAACAAAACCTCACTACTCTATATCTTATCTGGCTGTAAATGAGGATGATATTCACATTCTTGCCTTCCAACCTGCTACTGAATTTTTAACAGATAAGCCAAATAATAGGAGCATAAACTGATAGGGATATAAACTGGTGATAGGGAGCATAAACTGGTGAAGACAAATTCCTGAGCTGCTGCCAGCTTTTTGTGGCAGTACAGTTAGCTGTTAAAGAGAGGCTCAAACATGCACTTTTATAAGGATGTAATTGTTAGCACATAGCAATGGCAATAAATTGAGTCAGAGTAGGAATGTCCTCCAGCACTTTTTTCTCCTACACTTATGCTGTACTTCCCACAATAGTAATTTTTCCTTAGGCATATTCTACCTTATTCACAGTGGCACATAGAAACATTTCTGGCATAAGGAATCCAAGCCAAAGGTGTTTTAACCATTAGACTCCTCTGAAGGGGAAGGGATCTGGATATTTCATTTAAAAAAAAAAGCGTTTGAGGGATGAATATGATTTTTTGAGTCTTGGCCAAGTCATGCTCATAATGAAAACCAAATATCTTTATATGGACTCTTTACTATGGACTGGGAGCAAAGAGGGTCATTAAAAAAACCCTGCAGGGAAAATAACTGCAGTAGAGTTACACAGTGAAGACACAATATTAAATTAATAATGTGTCGAGCTAATTCATCTCCTGGTGACCTGCTGGTTGTTTCTCTGGTGTTGAAATCTCTGTTATCTGAAGATACTTTTTTGATGAAACCTATCCTGACAGAAAAATGAGCAGTCAGCTACCTCTGAAACAAGAATTTTTGTAGGTGGTAGCATGAAATATTATCCCAAAATTTGCCCACAATGAGACTCAAGAAAGATCTAAACTAACTAAAAGTGCCTGTACTGGGACTATAAGATTGTGATTTAAAAGTTTTGATCAAGTGCAGGAACAGGAAGCTTTTTCTGTTTCTGTTCAGTTGGTATTAAATTGGTAGACAAATTTTGACCCCTGGAATTCTCAGAACTGTCTACACACTTATATGAAGTGTGTATTTTATTGCTAATGTTTACGAGGGGTTTAGGAATTTTTTTTCTTGTTCATTGAAATAACCAATTTTGAAGGAAAAGAGGAAAATGCTTCATCGTAAAAAAAGCTAAATGACAAAGACCTTCTCTCTCCTCAAGAATCTCTTACCAGTGTACTGATTTTGAATGCAACCTAGGTACAAAAGGTCCAAAATTCATCCCCTCATCTTTTTGTGATGCATGCCAATGCATTAGTGTAAGTGTATAATAATATTACAATCCATGAAAGCCATAGAAACTCTCTGTCTGTTGTGTGTGACATGGATATAGATCTGTCTTTGTAGATTTGTAGACACAGAAACTGCCTTGGAACCGGGGGGGGAGGGGGGCGCAGGGCAGGGAATAGAGAAAGGGAACACTAGAGTGGCTTCTTATGAGAGTGGAAAGTGAACTATTATGAAACAAAGTAGACCAAATAATACACACAAAAAGAGGAGGGGAAGAAAAGACAAAAATTGCATTAAAATAGAACTAATTTTACATCAAGTAACACCTTTAATTGCAGGTAGAAGTGCTTGTAATCAATTCAACTAAAAGAGCATTCACTGGAGTGTATTTGCATGCATTTGCAGGTATCTTGTCAGGAATAAATATTTCCATGGAATCTTAAATTATATTTGGGTTGACTAACTTAATATTCAAACCTATATGTAAGATGAGCACCTCCTTCTTCCTAGTTAGGAAGAATTAAGTTCCTGTGTGAAGTTATTTCCCAGAGAGGCTTTGCTCCTGTAGACCAGCTGGCATTCAGGGAGCAGGAACATTCCTAAGCACGACCAGTAACTGTGGGCTCTTTTTGTTTTCTGTAGAGATAAGTTAAGGTTTTTTCACCTACTCTGATCAAAAGATTCATCCATCTCACATGAGCAGTGCTCTGAAGTAATGAAGTGGGTAAATATTGTGCAATTAGGAATTGTGCTGCACTCATTGTCTCATTGGTGGGGGAATCTGTAAAATATTCAGAGTTGTTTGGAAAGTATTTGCTGCTAAATAAGGTCTATTGAAAATGTACTTTAGCATTTTATTACCAAAGATTCTGCTCTGTCTGAATGAAGTGGAGGAAGGACAGGTCTTCTGAAGGCTTTTTGGATTTAGAAAATAAATGAAAGAATATTTTTTCTCATATGTAACAGATGACACTTTTTTTTTTTTATTTTTTGGTCTCACATTATTTTCTAGTTTAAGTATTGGTTATAGCAGACTAATCTGTATGAGACATGAATTTTATCTAGAATTATTTTTTAGCTAAAATCTTCTTAGGTTGAAAGTTTGTGTTTTCTAAATATAGACTCAAAATAAATAAAACCATGTATTTGTGTTCTTAAAATCCTGTTTGGCGAATACAGCAGCAGCTCCTGCTGAAACTCTTATGCATTATGATTTATACACAGACAGTTGGAAAAATGCCTCTGCCATTTTTCTTTAATGTGCTAGTTCCCTGGCCATTAAAAAACCCTGACCTCAAGTACCTCATGAATTTTGCACATGATGTCTGTTGCATAAAGCAGATTTTATTATTATTTAATGAACCTATGTATCTGATCCATCATTTCAGTTACAATCCTGGTAGCCTTGATCCCATATTTAAAGCTTTCTAGAACAAAGGGAGAAATCAAACCAAAAAAAGCTAGCTTTAAGCCAGACATGAAGCTTTTATTTCTGATCTGCCATGCTTGTGAGATAGTAGCAAATTCTGTTTATTTTATTCTGTTCCAGCTGTTTACCTCTGCAAGCGGACAATGCAAAACAAAGCAAGGCTAGAACTAGCAGACTATGAAGCTGTAAGTACCTGGCAAAAAGTAAATTTTTCAGCTGGGCCTGATGAGCCTGTGAAATAATGTGAAGCATGAGAACTATGGGCATTATGTGTGAAAATCTATTAGTTATCCAGTTCTTCCAGCTTGTGGGTCACTGCTCAGTAGTCTTAAATGGTGTTTGAGAGATGATAGTGAAGGCTAACTGGACAAATGTTGAGATTGCAGCCCATCTCTAATCTTACTCTGCTCAGATCCCCATGCCAGGATCACAAATAACTTCACAAATCCCGGCTGCACCCCGAGTGTTTGGAAGAGGTTGTTCTCTACAGCATTTAAGGTTTGAACAAAGGATCTCTGACAACATTTCCAAAAGCTCTTAATAGATGTAGAAATATGAATCTCATTCTTTACAAGGGATGCTGACACTTGAGGCTTTTCCCATCAGCTAGCTAAGAGGCAAAGAGGGTCAGACTAGAGGCATTCCTACTCCCTGACAGTTGTGCTGTGCCTCGGGCAAGGTAAGATAATTGAGGCCAGGAAGAGCTTGAAAAAGGGAGAGTTGGATTAGCTGATGAGGATGGCATTCGATAAGGAGAGAGATGGCTCGAATTCCAACTCTACCCCCAAAAAGTTCCTGAATTTTTCATGAATCTGTCAACATAAAATTCACAAACAGCCCTGTCTCTGGGCTGAAAGCTGTCCAGGTGTGCTGCTGTGACCTGATAGAAGGATAGTCAGCCTGGCCTCTCAACACACCAGACACTCCAGCCACAGCACCATGCTGACACACTGCATTGCTTCTTTTGGCACAAGCTTGTTTTTCAGTGTACTGCGCTGCGGGACATGCATAATTTTATACTCACATGCCTTAGAAAACTCCCCTTCAATGTACAATCCATAAGAGCCTTTTCTGGTATTGACAAGATCTCTAGAAAGTCTGCTCTTCTCTTTCTGTAGTCTTCATTCTCAGTGATTATGGCACAGAGATATGTTTGCAATGCATGGAAATATAGTCAAAATAACACTTTTGTTAAGAAGACTGCATACTGCTGCTGTTTAAGCTGTGAAGAGATTTAGAAAGCTCTGTTGGAGACAGTGAAAATGTTCCATCATCAATGGAAGAAAGAATTTTGCAATGATTTTATAATTTTTCTTCCTGTTATTATTAGTAGGCTGCAGAATAGATACATTTCCTGTACAGTATTGAAGAACTATAGTCTACATTTTTAAAGATAAGGATAGCTGTGGAGGTTTGACTATACTACCAAAAATGGCAGCCAACACTGTCCAGTGGAAACTATTTGCATAGATGAGTGATGGAGAATTGTCATGTGGATCATCCATAATGGACATAACTGTTATCTTTCATTGTTACATACTTTCAAAACAAGGATGTTTGTTCTGTTTCAAAATTACTAAGATAGCACACAGTATATAAAAATGTTTCAGAAATCCCATGTTCTGCTGAAGGATGCATCTACCCTTTTTATCAGAGTTTCAAAACTAAAATAGTCAAGGCATTCAAAAGTATTCCATCTCATTGGGTGGCAAGAACAGACTTTGTATCAGATAAGTAAGTAAGGTCAATTTACACTGACACAGATATCATGGCTTGTATTATGTTTTGGTGAGGGGGAGGTGAGGAGAGGAGGTAAAGATAAAGCCAGAACCTATTAAGGAGTAAATAACTTGCAAGCTAACCCACTAAAATTGTGATGTATTTGCAGGAGAGTTTGGCCAGGCTACAGCGAGCTTTTGCTCGGAAATGGGAGTTTATTTTTATGCAAGCTGAAGCACAAGCAAAGTAAGTTCCTTTGGAGATGAGCAGTTTTCATTTTGCAAGATTTTTTGAAAGGGGGGGAAGTGGTTTAATACATTTTATGTTTAAAATTACTGTCCTTGACACTGTTTCTTTTAAATGTCCTATGACATTGACAGGGTTGACAAGAAGAGAGACAAGATAGAGAGGAAGATCCTTGACAGTCAGGAGCGAGCATTTTGGGATGTGCACCGTCCGGTGGTGAGTGCTGCTGGGGCCACGGGGTCTGTGAGCAGGGCTGCTGAAATGTCACCTTCTCTGGAGCTTTGGGGTGGCCTGGGCACAAGTAAAACAGCAATAGGGTGAGGGGTTGGGGCTTGCCTCCCTCTTTTAAGGAACTTGAGTTTATATGAATCTGGTATTGCAGACTTCAGATGTGTGTGCATCCAGTTCACAATTTTCAGTGAATAGATGTGTTGTGCCTGGTTTCTTGAATCAGAAGGTACCTGTCTTTGACTATTATCATCTCAAAGGTTTCCTGGGTATGAGTCACACAACCAAAATTATCAGCATAACTAAAAATACTCTTAAATAAGTCTGACTATTTTTCTTTTTTAGTCTGCTTTTTTACTTGCTAAGCCTTTTAACTTCATTCCAGTTATGCTTCCAAGCTATTTTTGAAGCATGTAAAGATTAAATATTGGCTTTGAGCTGTGGGAGTCACTGTCTAAACAAGATTTGTCTGAGTTCTTTGTCAAAGTCCATCTGAAACAAAAGTTTAAAAAAGAAAGTTTCTTACATACTCAACTATATTTGAGTGCTAAAATTGTGAAAAAGAATGTCATGTCAATTGTTACAATAATTCCAATTAAACTGAACTTTTTTTTTTTTTTTGCTTTACTACAGAGCAATATTGGTTTCCCTTACCTAGAGTCAAGCTTTCCTTCTCTGTTTATGCAGTTTGGTATCATTACCAATGAAATCATATATGAACTATATCTTTTGCTCTGACACTGGGGAAAGCTACTTTTAGTGGGGGAAGTAAAATTAGGTGATGACACGTGTGGAAGAATAGAATGCAATGAGAAAGTTTAAAAGAAAAACAAAATTGATCATGGTCAGCTTACATTTGCAACTGTGGAAGTGAAGTGGTCATAGAAGAAATGGAATTTTAGGTAGGATTTATAATGTCAGGTAGCAAAAATAACTTGATGTGAAAAATTCCAGCCACAGGAAATAGATTCAAAAAGACCGGGATATTATTGTGTAATCACTGACATAAAACAAGGAAGGAGAACAGAAAGCAATTTTCCATCTGATGTAGGTTGGAACTACATAGGGAATAAACACGAAGTATCTGTGGACCTGAGACCTGTGAAGGTGAAGAGAGCTTTTATATTTGCTGCAGAAATGGATCTAAAGGTTTTGAATCTGAGAATGTTATTTTCAGGTTTGGAAGAGATGAATTGTTGAAGCTTCAAGAGAGTTAAAAGGGACCAGAACAAGAGGAAATTGAATCTGATTAAGAGCTTTGGCTGAACTGTGGATAAATCTGCCTGGTCCAGCAGATGTTTTTAATCTGGCTGTAAACATACCTAGGAAATATCAGAGGCAAAAGACTGGCTTACAGTCAGCAATGTAGGCTCCTGGCTTTAGAAGATATAAATAGATGAATGGAGAGGTCCATACTTTGGTTAAACTGCTCCTCTCAAGAGTCAGTGAAAAATAATATTATTTTTAAAAACAACGTTATAAATTTACTGTCACAGTAAAATCCAGAAGCTTCTTTTGAAAAGAACAAAAGATAAAACACAAAAAGACTGAAAAGAGGAGGGTGATGCTAGAGCTAGTTACAATTTGTAATGGATTTTCAAGCCTCCAAAAGGCCTCCCAAAAATTACAAAAATGCTACTGCAGCTCTGGAGAACTAGATTTTTTAAACAGTTTTTTACGGTGATTTTTGGATAAGAATCTGTGGATAATGCTTATTTTTATTTACAAGTGTTTTTATTAACAGTGTTTAGCCTTTTGATAAAAGTTCAGAGGCTAGGGGCAGTGACAACATAGTACAAAATGCACTCCAATGTAATTTTTTTTTAACTGAAAACAAGGTTTGAGGATCAAATGTTTTATTATTTTTGGTTGGTTGGTTGGTTGAAGCTGAGTAAAAAAATATTTTTTTGGGGTTTTCTTGGTGGCATCCTGGTCCTTAGTTGCTTTATTGCTATGTTTGTTACCTCCCCAGATACAGTACTGATACAGAAGATTTACATTTAAAATATAAACTATGAATATTAAATTTGCATTGTATTTCAACTTTAAGTTGATGAAAGGAGCAGAAGAGGGAAGCAAGGCATCATTGCTAAAGGACAGTGCAGCAGTGCACTACAGGAATGGGAGACTTGAGAACAGCTGTATGGCACCGGAGCCAGGAGAATGGTGATGCAGAAAAAGAGGATGATTAGGTATCAGAAATGTCACTATGACTCATAGGTTTTAAAGGGAAAATTAACCAAGGTTTGACATGTGAAGAGGATTTGCCTCAAAAAACACCAGTGTTTCATAGGTCCAAGTCAAAGGCAAGCCTGTAGGTGATTACAGAAGTTCTAGAAGATTTATGCCACAGTCTGAGGGACAGACTAATTCTTCAAAGTCATTTTGACTGTTACTTTGGATTTGCTGGTCCATAATTTTTTCCTGGGTCTGCAGACTGAGATGATTCTTGGAGACAAGCTAGAGAAATTGGATTTGGAAAAGTTTATTCAAGTAATCATCTACTGCTCAATTTTCTTCCGAGAGACAGTTAAGAGAACAGCTTTGTTATCTCACTGTTTAGTTTGCATTCCAATGTTTATGTAATTGCTGTTTCCCTGTGGGGGTGTTTTGGTTTGTTTTTTTTTGTGGGGGGGAGGAGTGGGGGTTGTTATGTGTATTTCAGGATATGTATGTGGGAGTGCAATCTTGGTCATTTCTGTAAATCCCAATTTCTGCTTTATGTAGAAAGATCTTAGCTTGCAGTTAAAAAGAGTATGGCCGAGCTTCAGCTGTAGATAACTGCAGCCAGCAAAGACATTCCCAAACCATATTTAGTTTTACTAGTTCAGATACCAGCCATAGAAAAACCATGGAAATTTGTGTCAGGGAGAGCTGTATAAACTCCCTTGCAATCCTGAGCATCAGGCCTAGGAGAAAGTCCATGCTGTTATTTCCAAGGTAGAGCCAGTATCTGGCATAGGTCTGAGATTAGTATTATTCACATAAGTGATGCATTTCTCTTGTTGATGGCAGAGTAAACACATCTTGAAAATCTTTCTCTTCTTTTCACCTACCTAGAAAGTGTATTGTTTTCATAATTTTGAAACTTCTGTTGATAACAGTGTGGAAATAAGAAAAAAATTGGTGAGGAGGATTAAGGCGTTAGTCAGAAACAATAACAAATCAGGCTAAATTGCGGAAGTGAGTTACTTCTAGGAGAAAGAAATTGAGAAGCTGCTTTTGCTCAAAAAGAAATGTCATGCTCCTTATTAAAGTCTTTCAAAGAGAACTTGTTTCATCTTTTCTGAATTATTATCTCTTTCTAAACTCCAAAATCTTACACATGTTAAAAACGGACAAACGGGTACTAAAGCAGTAAATGCTCTAAAACATTCTCAAACCCACACTAAATACAGTCAGAGAAAAGTAGCTGTGGCTTACTCTAAAATTAACTCTTTTAGGTAACAAGCAAGACAGCTGATGTCTTGCTGCTACAAATTATTCATTTTTCTTCCTGAGTTATATATTAATGAAATAATATGGCCATAATAAAAAAGTCCTTTTGGATACTTGCTGAGATTCACAACAATTCAGAAGACAGTGGGTGAAGTATCCTTTTCTTTGAAAGTCACCTGTGTACTTTGTAACTGTAAAAACTTGAAAAAGCATTTAATTTTCTCCAGTGCCTCTCTGACCTTTGCCATCAGTCTGTGTTGGTTGTATTACAGTCACATTTAGCAGGTTTCTGTGCAGTTGTTTTTAGAATGAAGATGGGAAATACACAACAGATGTGCTAGAAAACTGCAGTGCTATGTGTCCCTCTTCAAAGTTTAAACACTGGCTGTGGTTTAGTCGTAGTGTGCTTTGATAAAGCACGAGCATGAGTCAAAGTGTGAACCAGTTCTTTTATTCTGCCATTTATAACTTGGTTAAACCCAATCCACAGGACTTCTATTCCCATTGCTGTTACTATTTTGCTCAATTATAGTGATTATTTTGGTTCTCTGGGAAAAAATGGATATAAAATATTTATAAGGGTCAGACTTAATGACCTTCAAGGTCTATTCCAACCTAGATGATTCTATGATTTTATGAAAAACAACAACAGTATTTGTGTGATTTAATACAGGACAGAGAAGTATCTGGGGTGAGCATATCTGGATTAGGGTGCTCCCTGCCATTGCTTCCTAGCACCAAACTAGGAAAACAGTGTTCTTCAAATATTTTATAATTTGTCACATATCCCACACCTTTTGCTTCTCTCTCTCTTTATGAGACTCTGTGTCCATTAATTTAATTTTCTCTTTTTTTTTAATTGTATTTTTAGTGGTCTGAACATGACCCTTGACACCTGACCTGGCAGGTAACGTTTCTAGGAGTTGATGGCCAGGCAGTGGGTTCTTCTGTATTTTAATAATTATTTCATTCTGTCCTTCAAGATCAGCCTCAGAGAGTTGTCAAAGCAGTGCATTTACCTTGGATAAGATAGTACATGCCTGCATTTCACACTCAGTGGTAGACTTTTCTAGGCCAGTCACTTGCAGAGCCAGAGAACTCTGCTTTTTCATAATATTTTCAAAAAATGTATAGGTGTCTTCAGAAAGCAAATGTGAATCATGCCACCCATCTTCTCTAGAGATATATACACATATAATTTTCATGTCTTCTTTTGCACCTGTTTGACCATATATCCTTACAAGGGAGTTACCTCTACAGGAGACAGGGAATGCAGCCAAACCAGGAATTGTCATTCTCAGATAATTGCCCTTCTGGTAATGAAACAAAACCCAAGTTAAATGCTTTAACTTCAAAAAATGGTCATAATGTTTATGATCCATACTTCCATGTAATTGAGGCACATATTTATAAGCCCTCTAGCTGGCCTGCTATCTAAGATCTTTGTAGAAGATTTTGTACTCACATTATTTAGCATTTTTATTTAGTCTAATACTTGAGAAAAGGTGGGGCAGATGGGGAAAAAGAAGCCACGTTTCTTGCAAGAGTGC